TAGTGGGTTTTCTATTTATGGCATTATTTCTTATTCTTGCAAATAATACATTTTATAATGTAGTTTTTATAATCGTTTATAATTTAATAATCAATAACACATGTGCAAATTATTGCACATTTTTAGTTTTTTTAAATATATAATTACACAATTTTTCAGCTTTACAGAAAAATTTTCGCAATATGTGTCATGATACTTTTACAGCAGTTCTCTTCATAATTAAATAGTTTTCTCTCCGCGTTCAGAAAGTTTCTATTTTTTTATGCAACAAGCCGATTTTGCTTGGAAATGCAGAATAATTCCGGGGACAAAAAGAAGTGAAGAGATCTTTTTTAGTGTTAAAAAAAAATATATATATTCGCGTCTATTGATCGCCGGAAAAATCTCGGTTAGCCGTCGACTGAAAACCGACGAAAATGGCGCGTAATTTCGGCGCCGGTATCGGCAGGACATACAGCCATCAGCGCGCGCGGGCGTCGCCAGGTGTGACGAGCGTTTGAAAAATTGCCAGTCATCTGCGTTCAAAGTTGAGCGAAATGCCGTCCCGAACGGCGCGCGGCGTTACGAAAAATTAATTCACGGCTTAACGCGCGTCAAAGGATTAGGGACGGTAGGCACAATGCGTCACGTGCGAGAGAGGTCAATCTACCTGATATATTCCATCACGCTGCAACGAATTTCGCAACGTCCGACGCGTAGTCGCGCGTTTGCCAGCCAGCTGTGCATTTTTCATCGTGCCACGGCCCGTAAGCGTCAGCTTTATAATTTGGGTACAATCTTCCTTTAAACTCTACGCCCCGTCGGGAGTACTGCTGCAGCAAAACTGATCGTAAAACAAATTGACGGATCTTTTTACGCAATTTTGTGCAAGCAAATTTTTTTTCTGCCTTACAACAACAGCCGGGATAAAAAATGCATTCTTTATTGATGTACGTTCGTGTTTTTAGTGCAACGTAATTTAATTCTTATTTTGAACAATTGACAGGAGACTATTTGAATTAGAGGTGTGCGAATCAAGCATTTGCATGATCGAATCGAATCGAATCTGAAATTTTCACTTTGAATCGAATCGAATCTGAATCAAATTTTTCCAGATTACTATTACATGTTAATTTAAATGTAATAAATATCCAAATTTATGATTTACATTATTTTACGCAATGATTTGAACAAACTGAAGACCTGTTTTCGATTTACATCTTATTACAAAGGATCATGATCTTATGTGACATTTTAAATATAGAAAATATTAATAATATATGTATACACGAATAGTTAGAATGCTTTTGAATATTTTATTAATCTATATGAATACATTACATATATCAAAAATATTTATTTATTAGATAAGAATAATTGGTCGCGCGGGGGATGTAAATGAATCAAATAAAATAGACGATTGATTCCAAATCGAACTATTGTTGATTCGAAATTTTCAAACTATTCGATTTCGAATCTTGCAGATTTGAAAACAAACTCGAATTGAATCTACTGTGATTTGATTCGAATTCGAATTATTCGCACACCTCTAATAATCTCCCAATAAATCGGTTTTCTTTTTCGTTTTAGGAAACAGTAAAGGGAAACAAAATTGTAAGAAATCTAAATCTTGGTAGAATAAAGGCTCTGTGTTTTTGCTACTTACGTATGATTAATGTTTTTAAAGATGATACATATGATTGCTACGTGCTGCGAACGTATTTTATCACTTGTACGTTACTATATTTAGGTTTTTGTATTTACCGATCTCTTCTGTTGCTAACGGAACGTTGACAGCAACGATCGTTCACAGAACAGAAACGTACGGTATAACGATTAATGTTGTAACAATAAATCCGAGCATAGAGATTTGTACTTTATTCTAGATGTATTATAGTATCTACGAATGCGTGTGTTGTACACTGAGAAAAAAAAGTTGTTAAAATAACTAAATGCGTTTTGTTGACAGTTTTTCTTTGATTCAATTATATATGTTTTGAATTAAACATACATTAATAACGTGATATATTATTAACATGATATTTTTGTGAATTAACAAGTATTTTGTTGAATTAACAAATGTTTGCTTGACAGCCCGTGACCGCCGCATTTAGTTGAATGAAATAATATTTTTTTAAATCAACATTTTTTTTTCTCAGTGTATACGAGTCCTAAATGATGTTACTGATGAACAGAAGAGAAACAAGTTATAACTTATGATAATATATTATATGCTCCCACTATATACATTTTTCATTTTTTATTCTTTCGCGTTCATTAGTCTTCTGAATCACTTTTAATTAAATTGAATCGAGCAAGCGATCGTTTATTCAGCGTGATCATTGTTCGAAGCAATATCAGAAAACGAATACAATTAATCCACGAGTTGTTTTATACACGCTTGTAAAGTTATCGCTTGTTTGTCAGCTTCAACGCTGATTTCAACGTCGCGCGCGATATGCAAGCATGAGGACGCACAATACACATTAGGACTACTACTACTATCACTACTCGGTCCGGGTTATAATTGCACTCTTTCTGAATTATAATCCCTCGCTTGATAATTTTGCGACTTTTGCGCTCGCGATACAACATGCAAGATGAAACAGCGAAGAATCTGGACCAAACGAAAGGGTACTATCATCTTATCGTGATACCGTCACACTGAGAAAAAAAATTGATTGAAAAACGCAAAATTTGTTTCATCTTACCAAAATATTTAATAGATACGTTCAACTAAACGTTATCACGACGAAACAAAATTTGTTACTGTTATAAACAAAATACTATTTTTTAACTGAACTATTTTGTTTTAAGAAAATTTTATCGTATTTAACTCAACCGTTTGATTAAAAATACACAATATTTGTTATCCCCATCAGTATTGTTTAGTCAGTTTGATACTTGGAATTTTTGAACAAATATATTACTTGAATAACTAAATAGCACGCAAGCACAAATAAATACTACTAATGTTTCGAATAAAATAATTTAATTGAGTTGGTTTAGTTAATCTTAATTTACAAATTTTAATGGTTGGCATGAATAAACTATACTTTTCTTTGTGCAACTAAAGAATTGTTGAATCAACCATTGGATCAAACAACTATACAAATTTAGTTCGTACAATCAATTTTTTTCTCAGTGCAGGATTTAAAAAGGAGTCTCCATTCTGCGCTGCGGCATCAGTGATTTAGCTATAGACCTCGTTTCGCCCCATAAACAGAGGGGGAGAGTGAGTTGGATGCTATGCGTAAAAAGTCGAAAATCCATATAAAACATTACAATTATAGATCTCGTTTTAATTAAATTTAAAACTAGCTTTAACTAGTGAAATCGGAATCAGTTTTAACGATTATGGATTTTGACTGTAACATATATGTATATCCTTTGTCGCTGATGTGTGGTTGGACATCAATAAACAAAAAACAGAGATTTGGTTATTATTTATATGTGTTAAGGAGTACACATTTACTATTTGTCAAAGTACAAAAATCCGTTGGTTTTGTTAATATAAAATAGGACATTATAAGATACAAGTCTGACAATCGTATGGAAGTCAAATTTAAAATTTTAAATGCAACATAATATTTTGTGACGTATCTGTCGAAATAATTAATAAACTTGCATTAAAAATAAAACAAAATAATCTAACATAAAATCCATCAGTTGATTGTCGCGAAATAAAGAAATTTTATAAATTAATGTAATATTTGTATTAAAGTTTCCCTCTGTTAACAAATATATATTCGATTTTTATTTAATATACATACATACATATTTCAATAGATACTGATGTAAATAATTTTAATAACACTCTGTTAAACAACGATTGAAAAAGATACATATACCTCGATACGCATAGAAAGGTAACATCGCGCGATAACGATTACTATTATAATATTTGTAATTAGGTATATGTATTTATAAAAAGTACACGATAACTGTGTATAATGTGCGTGAAAAACTCCTTTATTATTTGTTTTAACAAAATTTAATTTTACAATAATTACATTTAATTGTATACTTGTTTTTATTGAACTTGAAACTTTATTATGTCATTGGTTCAATTTTTACACCGTTACGAGCAAAATGTGTTTTAATATCATTACTGATTTTCTCCAATGCGGCAGCTAGAGAGTATTATTGTATTTCTGTAATCTTAGGCTTCACAAATAAATACGTATTTACTGTAATGTCTGTACATTTTGCGAATGTACCTTTTGCTATTGTATAAATTCTATGCAGACAGTAATACAATAAATTTAACGATTGTATATCTATATTTTTGATATTGTTAACGGAAGTACGTAAAAAAACATACATTATTATATAACTTGATCCAAATATACAGAAATTCGACAATAGAGAACTTCTCATCAATATATATATATATATCAACATATTCTTATCAATATCAATTTATATAAATAATTAATAGAGCTAAATATATGTGCTTATAGAAAAGTTGATATTTTCTTCTTAATCAAACACATATGATCGAACATCAATTATAGCTCATTTGGAACATCAAGATTGCTGTAATGATATTGTTTGAAAAATTTATTAAAATATTAATATTCAGAATTTTTTTACATTTATATCAGATTAAATTGAATCTGCATATGTATATGAAACAATAGATTAATAAAGTAGAATGTAAATTTTTGCAATTAATATTACACAGATAATCAAATATATTATTATGTACATAAAGTGAAATAAAAATCATTATGCAAATATTTAAATATTGAATGTATAGATTCAATGGAATTAAATGCCGCAAACGCATGTCTAATTAAATCAGTATAAACATTTAAATCAGACCCATATACTCTGCAGTATTTAGAAAAAAAAACACATACATAATAATAAATTTGAATTATTGGACCATAAAATCGATCAAATGAAAATATTAAACTCAATTATTTATGCCTTTACAAAATAATCATTTTAATCAAATTTAATTTTTATATTTCTTATGAAATACAAACATTAAATATCCAATTTTATACATGATTATTCTACATATTTGTATATAAACGACTGAAGGGAAATAAAATGTAAATACTTATAAATTCAACACTGTTAATTCTTTGGTTATTCTTAAAGTTTCCGAACGTAAACTAGTTTGATAAAAAAATGTTCCTACATTATTTCTTCGACAATTTATTTATTTATTGTTACGTTCATGTTGTTTTTTTCAGTATATACTTGACTCTTCTTATTTATGCCATGTTTCAACAAGTGACTTAATAAGAAATCTACTCTAAATATGTTAAACATTTTATAACAAATTTTACATTTAATCTCATGACTTAATCTGCTGAATGTGAAATGTTGTGATACCCATATACGTTTTACTTCTTCTCGTATCTTTTCTGTTGTAAGTGGATGTACAAATATCATGTGTTGCTCTAAATTGTATTCATCATATCCACTCAAAAACATTTTATTACAAAGTTTACACTTTGGAATACATCTTTCTCCTTCTGTGAAATACCGCCATACCAAGTTGCTTCGATCGCTGTCTTCGTCACGAAATATTTCGTGTTCATAATATAAATGTATCTTTGTGAATAATAAATTACTGGTAACATAATGGCAAATATTGCATATCATCTTATAAGAATGTTTTGCTCTACTAAAATATTCCCATAACCAATTTTCGTTTTCATTTTTCTGCGATTGCGTTATGTCCGCACAGTACCTTAAAGCACATATTTTACATGTCAGATATAATTTCTTATATAAACTTCTTTATATTCTAAATTTCTTATACAGGGTGTCCCGCAACGCTTAATTAATATTTCAAGGTGTGAAAGAGAATGAAATTTTGAACTAAAAGTTCCTCTTTCAATTTTGACTTAGACCATTATTTACAGAGTTATTAACGAATAAAGTTAATCAATCAGATCGCGCTTAGCCGGAGTACGCAGGAGCGTAGCGTGTCGTACGTGCGGCTCTTCGCGCTCACTTCACAGGT